TTATTCAAACATAGTATCTTAGAACTTACATTATCTTAACATCTGCAACATTGCTTCATTTTTTAATGGTTACCCAGTAACTCCTGGTATGACTGTGCTATAATTTAGCCAGTCCCCTAAGACTGATGTTTACATTCTTTCTGCTCTTGTCGCCAGCAATACTAACGTGGATTTCCTGTCTGTGTACATATTATTTCACACATGTCTGTCTGTAGGATGAGTTTCCAGACGGGGAGCTGCTGGACACGTTTCGGTGCTTGCTAGATGTTTGCCCTGCAGGGAGGTGGTTGTTCGGTGGCCCCAGTGAGGCACTGCCCACTGAGCTTGCGTGTCAGTGCAGTGTCCTCATGAGCTCAGCAGATACAAAATCTTGTCTTGGGGTTTCTCTTAGTACTTGGGATTTTTAAAAATTTTTTAGAGTATGTAGAACTTCAGTTAGATGCATTACAAACACATTTCCCAGGTTAGCATTTGTGATTTTAACTTTGGTTATCCTGTTTTTTTTGCTGTTTAGAAATTGCTGATTTTATGTAAATTTTCCAGTGTTTTCTTAAATCACTCTGGTTTTGTTTCCTATTTGGGAGGTTTTCTCACACAATGATTTCTCTCCCATGTTTTTCTTCTAATGATTGTGTGGTTTTCTTTTTAATATTTGAATCTGACCAATTCAGAATTTACTGATGGGCACAGACTAAGGTAGGGCTTTGTCTTTATTCTCTGGGAATAAGGACTGTGAGGCCCTTCTCCTAATGTCGTGTGCCGATTGAACTTTCCCCTGCTAATTTGAAATGGCACTTTGATCATAATCAAAATGTGTATTTGGGTCCCTCTCTGGACTTTGTGTTTCCATTGGCCTGCTGTTCATGCACAAGTTCAATTACTTTAGCTCTATAATGTTTTAATAGCTGATGTTACCCTGAGAGAATTTTCCTGGGAAGTTCTTTTTAAATTCTCTATAGAACTTTAATATTACCTTGACCACTTTGTGGTGACACTTTATTAAATTATCTTAGGGGCAATTCAGATTTTGTTGTCTTCCATTCAGATATCAGGCATGTCTCTCCATCTCGTCATCTTCTCCAGTATCTGTCACGTTTCAGGATTTTTTTCATACAGATCTTGTCATTTCTTCTATTTATCACTGTCTATTACTATCTTTCTTATTGCTGTCGTAAATAATTGGGGTCTTATTTTAATCTTCTAACTGTATTTTTGGTTTGTATATATGAGTGCTATTCATTTGATGTATTCATTTGTATCCACACAAATAATTGATTCTATTATTTGGTTATTTAAAATAGTATGTCAGCTGATTTTCTTGGGTTTTCTACATATGTAATCTGCAGATAATGATCATTTTAAATCTTTACCAACTTTTACACCATTTCTTTTATTCCAGCTATGCTGGTTATTACCTTTGGCAGAGGGTTAAAGTCATCTTTGAATATTTCTGATTGAAATAAGGAAGTATTTACTCATTTCCATCTTGTTAGAGGCAGGTGGTTGGATTTTTATAAATGCCTTTTTAATACATATAGAAATCTTCATAGTTTCTCATTTTTGATCTATCAATGGGATGAATTATATTCCTAGATTTCTTCATAATAATAAATCTTTGCAAAATCCTGGAATTAAACACTTAGTTATGGTATATTCCTTTGATTTTCTTTTTGAGTGTATTAGAATGTTAACATCTGTCTTATATTTATACTTAATATTATTTTGTCATTTGAAATATTTAAGGTTTTTATAGTGTTCCTGTGGAACACTGGCTTTTCTGTGCTATTTTTGTAGGGGTTTTTTGTTACCATTCTTATGCTAGATTCCTTGCTTTCCTTCTTTATTATGTACCAGAAAAGTTTAAACCACATCGGAGTTATGTGACCATTAAGAGTTTGATCAAATTCCCTTGTGAATATGTCCCTACCTGGTGTTTTTCAAAGAAAGCTCTTTGCCAACTTCTTCTATTGATTTATTTTGAAGTTTTTCATTTCACATATTCTGCTTTTTTCTATGGTCAAGCTTTGGTCATTTATATTTTCCTAGAAAATTATAGTGTTTGTTTATTTTCTATTTTTGCACAGAAATGAACAAAGTAGTTGCTTTTAATTTTAATTTCTTCGTTACATTTGGCTGTGGCTCTGTAGGCATTTCTTAGTTTATATGCTTTTGTGCTTTGTTAATTTCACTGTTAATTTGAGAAGCTGGTGATGTCTCTGTTTTTCCCTTGAGGGGCTCTTAGACTAATATTGGTTTTCACTTTTTATTTTTTAACTGGCTCTGCTTTAGCTTTTTAGTTCTGTGCTGAGATTTTTTTTTTTTTTTTTTTGCAATTTTTAGATAACGTTTTTAATTCACTAGTTTATGATCGTTTTCCAGTTTTGTTACTAATGCTGGGTTTGCTTTCACTGCGAGGAGTGTCTGCACTTTTGGAATCTAAAGTAAAGTTGTCTGGGAGGGACACCTGGGGTCCGGCAGTGGAGCGTAGGACTCTTAGCTCAGCTCAGGTCATGACCTTGGGGCCTTGAGATCGAGCCCCGTGTTGGGTTCCCCGCACAGCACAGACTCTGCCTGAGATTACGTTTCCTCCTCCCTCTGCTCCTCCCCTGCACACACACACTCTCTCAAGTACGTAATTTAATTAAATAAGGTTTTCGTGTCCAGTTTTATGCTCAACTGTAATGAATTTTCCTTGGACCTGTTGAAGGTCAGAACAAATTTAACTAGATTTGCCTTGTTAATGAGCTCTTCTGTGTGAATACCTCCTTCTGTCCGCTGGATGTTTTTGTGGACGGAGAGCAGTGAAGTCTCAAAACTCTGTATTCCTGTCAGTGTTTCCTTTATTTCTTACAGTCTTTGCTTTCTAACAATCTGTGCCCTGTGTGTCTTCATTTTTTATTATTTTTAAAGATTTTATTTATTTATCTGAGGGAGAGAGATTATGAGAGGAGAAGGTCAGAGGGAGAAGCAGACGCCCCATGGAGCAGGGATCCCGTTGTGGGACTCGTCCCAGGACTCGGGGATCACGACCTGCGCCAAAGGCAGTCAGTCAACCCACTGAGCCACCCACGCGCCCTAGTGGCTTTCTTTAAAAAAACAATTCTTGCCTTGGATTCCACGTCCTGTCGGCTGCCGTGCTGGTCCCTGCGTCTGGATTGCATTTCTGCAGTGTGCCTGTGTCCCTTCCCGCCTACTTGTTCTGTCACGTTGGAAGTCTGTCCTGTAAACCGTGTGTTTCAGTGTTGTGATCCAGTCTGTCTTTTTTGTACTGTGGAGTTAGGCAGTGTTTGTTTATTAAACAAAGTTGGTTTTGGTCCTGTCATTGTATGTAATATGCTTTCTGTTTCTTTTGGGGATTTTTGGTGTTTTTTTTTTAAGATTTTATTTATTTATTTGACAGAGATCACAAGTAGGCAGAGAGGCAGGCAGAGAGAGAGGAGGAAGCAGGCTCCCCGCTGAGCAAAGAGCCCGATGCGGGGCTCGATCCCAGGATCCGAGATCATGACCTGAGCCGAAGGCAGAGGCGTAACACACTGAGCCATGCAGGCGCCCCTCTTTTGGTGTTTTTATGTTTCACCACATAATGTGTTTTTTTAAAAGAGTTTTTTCAGATTTTAGAACATTTGTACTTTTGTTCTGATGGTTACGGTCCTAAATGTAGACGGAATACTTCATTCCTGAGGTCTTTTCTGTTGGCTTTCTCCCGTGAATGGTGAGGATGTTTGGACCGGTTCACCTCGGACCGCATCCCTGCCCCAAGGCCCACGCCAGACTTGATATCCACTAGTCCTGACTTCTACGGGAGAATCGAGCCTCACCAGTGACCCGCCTTTTCCCCTCAGGCTGTCCATCAGCATCTGGGTCTCTCCCTGGGCCCTGTCGACTGTGCTCGCAGGTTAGTTGGTCAAGGCCGCTGGAGCTCACCTTGGTCCCCTCCTCTCCTCGTGAGCCCTCTGGCTGTCTGCGTGGACAGGTGGAACATGTGATCTCATCAACAGAGAGCATTGGTCTGCCACACACAGATGTCCGTCAGTCCTCAGTTGGGATTCACTGTTTGTTGAAATGTGTCCTTTGAATTTGGAAGGTGGTTCCATGAGGAGTACTTGCATTCGTGAAGTGATTTGTCGTGAAGGCTTTGACACTGAAATGACAGACGGACCTTGTGGGCCTCGCCCTCGCAGCTTGTACATGCACGGCTGTCTGGGGAGACGGCGGCTGGCCCGGCTCGCCTCCTGTGCCTTGTGTCTGCATGTCCGGGAGCCTCCTGGTAGAGATGGAAGGATTGGGAGGATAGCGCACATTCCCGTATGTAACACTGTCCTTCCTTCGGAAACGACCTGTGAAGCAGATACGCCCTCACGGCAACGTGAGTTCCTAGAGCTGGCGAGCGCGAGTGAGCCTGCGGTAGCCGTCTCTGTGCTCCAGAGTATGTCTGAAGTACGTTTTTAAAAATTGAATAAAATGCCATGTAACTGTAAATCAGGGATTCTGGTTAGTGATCCAATCCAAAGTATATTTCATGGAAAATCACATTTTTGTCTTATTGACCCCAACATATATTCTTGTTTCTTTACATGTTGGCAACCGCTCCTATGATTCTTACACATTCTTTAGTGTCATGTCCTGAGTTTTGAGTTAGAGAATTTTATATTCTGAAGTCTTGTAGCTAGAGATGATAAAATTCTGAATTTAGACTTTGCTGAGCGGAAGTTAGTGACAGTCGCGGAGGCCAGAGCTACGTGGGATGTTAGACGAAAATATGTTAAGTGATTTCTGTTTGCTGGTTAAGGACTATTTTGAACAATTACTCCTCTAAATACACAAATAAGATTGAGGTTTAAAACAGCATGATAATTAAAAGACTTAAATGTCTAAGATTTTGTTTCTTCTGTAGGGCCCTCAGAAGCACAGCTTGTGACAAAGGAGAAATAAATCACCCTAATTATTTGTTTATTTTCGAGTCCTAAGGGGTTTTTAATTTGTTTTCCTTCTGCACTCAGGTACATGTCTCGAGTCCACGGTATGCACCCAAAAGAGACCACGCGTCAGCTGAGCCTGGCTGTGAAAGACGGTCTCGTTGTCGAAACCTTAACAGTAGGCTGCAAAGGCTCAAAAGCCGGTATTGAGCAGGAGGGATACTGGTTGCCGGGAGACGAGATCGTAAGTATATTTTATCAGACATATTTGGAGATGTTGACTTGACATCTTGGAACATTATTTAACTCCAACACATAGTAATTCATTTTTAGAAGTTTCATAGTATTTTACTTCAGTATTTCTTATGAACAGGAAGGGCCTACATTGGCAGGATGGATAATTTCCTCCCTCGTTAGGAGGAAACTCACTTCTACAAAGAGCCTCCTTTCTCTGTCCAGTTTCCCTTGAATCTGAAAAATAAAAGAGAGTCCCCTTTTACTGTACGCATTCAGCGGTCTTCCTGTTTTCTTCAGGAAACATTAGTGCGGACTGTTTCATGCAGGCTAGTGTCGATGCCGTGTAGACAGAGCGAACAGGAAGTTGTCCTCCCGGGCTGATGGCATCTGCGCCCGGGGGCACCTGTCAGTGGGACTCATGCAGGAGTTCCAGCTCCTTGGGCAGTCTCCTCACTGACTGTGACCATAACCGGTCTGCGGGCGCTCTGGCAGAAATCAGGAAAGACAAAGCTCATTTTCTTTATATTTTGCCTGGTTCTTACTTTGACCCCCTTCTGAGTGAGGACATTTCCGTCTCTTCTTTTACTTGGAGCCTCAGGCACACAGAGACGTGCGTTTGTTTCTTACATAAACGCTGGTTTCATGTGTAATACTTTCATATTTCTACCTTCACTGGCCTATGATATTTCTAATACCTTGATTAGAAAAGTCTTAATTTTTGCTAAGGCACATCGTTTAAAGATGATAGGTTTCAAATATAATAGATACTTTTTCAAAGTTTCTAAAAGGAATCAATTTAGTAGGTAGGTGTTTTGAGAGTGTTTATCGTGACTTCTCCAATACCATAAAAATGACACAAAATCTTAAAATTGGTTCTTTGTGGGCACTTTTCCCAAGAATTGTGAATTGTATTTTCCTCTCTGGGTCTACAGCAGATGTGGCCCCGTTCATGCTTGCCGTCCAGTCCCAGAGCAGCAGGACCACACGTTTTCTGGGGGCAGCTGGTCTAAATGTTAGGGAAGTTGTTCAGTTTTAACACTGTGTTTGTCAGTTTAATCTCTGCCTTCCAAGTTTTAGGAAAGAAAATTCACACTTTCCACAAATAGAAAATGTGGAAGAAAACAATGTTTACTTTCATTGGTATCATTTGATCTGTGCACTTGAAGTGCTCTTGAAAACTTAAGCAAGAATGTTTCTATCATAATAATTTCTTTGTTCATGTCCTCTCAGAATAGTAGAGCTTTGTTGCCAGTAAAGAAACTTTGGGGACCAAGTCCCAATAATTACAACGTGAGGTGATCTAACCCTGTCCCCACTAGATGCTGATAAGCTTATTATATACTGAAAATAACCAAGTAATAGAAAATGTCTAATCCCAGACACTTGGAAAATCTGTAGTATAGAAATTTCTGAGGTCTCCATATAATTAACCAAGAGTAAGCGCAGCTTAATGGGCAGGATTTTGGTTGGTTTTCCAGGCAAGAGATTTTACTTCCTGCTTTTTAGGGTTATGCCTCCCAGGGAGCTTTCTTCCTCTTCAAGTGGGAGTTTGGCTCCCACTGAGCAGCTAACGGGCCACATTAGACTCTGTGTTCTGTGTTGGACATATTTACAGTGTCATCCCTTTTTTCTTTTTTCAAGATGAAAATTTCAAACAACCAGTGTGTAGGTTCTATTTATTCTGGTTGGTTCTTAACAAAGATTTCCTATACTAAGTATGCATGTTTCTAGTGCAGCTGGGGTTGTGAAAATTGTGCCTAGTTTATAAAATAAGCAGATACTAAAAATGCAGAGGCAGTGTAGTGTAGCAGAAGGAGGTCAGGTCTTACATGTGAACACAGAGGGTCCCCATCCTAGCCCATGCGTTTATTTTGCTGTGTGACCTTGAGGAAATTTCTTAACCTCTGACCCTCATTCTTCACCTAAAATATGAGCATATGAATATGTGTTTCATTTGATTATTTTAAGGTTTAAGTGAGATTACCTATATAAAGCGTATAACCATGTACTCAAAGCAAGTTTTGGCCAGCAAATAAGTGTGCTTAAGAAACGTCCTTATGTAGTGTAGCAAAAACACATTTCTTAATAACCACACAAACAAAAATTGTCATCAGGGTCTTTTTACTTCTAAACCCATCTCTTCCAACACAAGGACATGTGTAAAGACGTTTCCCCAAGACACTGGCACAGTTTGAGGACCAGCTATGGAGTGATGAGGCTGTGTGAGATTCCCAGAGCCCTGACTGGGTTAACCCAGGCTCCCAGTGCTGTCAGGCTGCTGTGTTCACGTACTGAGTTCCCTAGAAGGACACAAAGCTCATGGGTGGCCTGGCATGTGGGCCACTGTGTACCGGGCTGCTCTGACCTGCACAACTCAGGGAGGTGTGCTCAGCCCCCACCACCAGCAGCACACGCGGCAGCCGCGTCTCCTCAGGGAAGCCAGTGCCAGGGGAGGGCCCTGCTGCGACTCGCACAGAGGTGTTCGTGGGCCAGTGTTGGAGTCTGGGCCCTCCTTAAGACCTCCCCACCTGTACATATGATTCTCTGAACATCGAGTTCTTAAATTGAAAGACGTGTTACTCATCTTGTTGACTGTCGACTTTCTGACTCACTGTTGAGAGAAGTCAAGCAGATACACACGGCTCTGAGAAGGAAAGGCATAAGATTTTGTACTTACTGCTATTTAAACCTTTGATTGGAAGTTAAAGGATTCTTTTTTTAAAAAATATTTATTTATTTGTGAGAGAGTGGGAGGAGGGGCAGGCAGAGGGAGAGGGAGAAGCAGGCTCCCCACTGAGCAGGGAGCCCGATGTGGGGCTTGATGATGGGACCCTGGGATCAGGACCTGAGCCAAAGGCAGACATTTAGTGACTGAGCCCCCCAGATGTCCTGAAGTTAAAATATTCTTTACTCAGGAAGTTCTGTCATTTGAAAAATGAGTGGTAAAGCTCTTCTTTAATCTCTCAAAGTAGGAGCTACAGCTCCGAGGTGGGGAAAAGCGGATTTCCCTGGGTGAGTCCCCACAGCGCATGCCTGAGATCCCTTGTGTTAGCCCAGAGCTTGGGCTTGTCTTTACTGCCATTATGGTGGGAAGGGGATGGTGGTCCCAATGCCCCTCCCATCCCTGAGCGGAGAGCCCGCTGGGGCCCATTTGTACTCCACCTTGGCTGCCTTTTCTCCCAAAGCTGCTTTTTAAAAACTGACACAATGAAAGATACGTGTATCTTAGACATTATTTTTATTAAACCCGGCAATCGTGTAATAAATGCGTAATGCTAACAATAAGCCCGGAAATAATTATGTATAATCTGTCGAAGAGGAAGCCTATGTAAGTCAAAGACTGGCCTCCTTTGTGCCGAGCCTCCTTTTGCCGGACTAGAACGATTTCTGCCCAAAGGTGGTTCACCGGGAGAAACCGACACAAAGTAGTCAGTAGATGAGCACTGTCCTGGTGTTACTTTAAGTATGTCCATTTGAGAAAGCAGAAGGAAAACCATAATTATTAAAAATGAGGCCACTCTCAATTTTTTTAACGGTTTGCTTAAATATTAGTCAGCAGAGCAGCAGTTATCTGCACCAGCCAATTTTAAAATGACAATCTTGTCGAAGCTGGGAGCCACTCCTGGAGATTTTGTACACTTCTCTTCCAGGTCTGTGTGTCATGAATACTCGTTCATAGGATCCAAGTAATTCTAGCGGCGGTTCTCAGAGCTTTCGGGATTATCTGAGCCGAGGCCAAGAGACCCAGACACAGAGTGAAAGCTTGTGCTACCTCACTGTTCAGCGTTTCCTTACATCAAGGCTTTTTTCTTCTGATTTTCAAAGCAGGGCTGCACGTTCTCCTAGACGGCTCCATCGTCTGCTCCTGCTAGAGAATATATGCTACTTCAGTCCACGTGTGGCCGTCACATCTTGAGAAACCTACATCTTGGGCAGAGTGTTAGCATTTGCTGGGCCGAATTTGGCATTTAGTAGCTTCCTTTGCAGTAAACACGTTAATTGCTCAGCCTTCAACTTTGAGTGCAGAAGGCGCTCGCTAGAGGTTTGGAAGGTCTTCTAGAAGAATGCAGTGCCATCTAGTAGGGCAGGTAGCCTCGAGCTAGGGCTGGTGTGCAGATAAAACATCAAGTATGCGCTTTGATGCTGAGGTAGTTGTAATGCTGTCTGTTGTCATGACTTCCCGCTTCCTTCATGGTCCCTGGTGCAGAGCCGTGACTTGGCCCCACCGTTTGATCTGACACTGAGCGATTTGGCGACAGGTGTCAAGGTTGACTCCAGGCTGCAGGACCGTGGCGTGCACTACGGAGCTGTGGGGCTTACTCACCTCCCGGGTCTGCGCTCGAGTCTTGTTTCTTCTTTCCCGTTACTGCTATTTCAAGATCAGTGTGTTCGTACGGCAGCTGCCCCGGGACCCCGGACTGTCACTTGGAGCCCTTGGCCAGTTTTCTGCAGCTGCCTCAGGTGCGCGTGGGAGCTCGGGTCCCAGCTGCCATGCCTGCTTCAGTCTCGGGGCTTCTCATGGAATCCGGCGGGGCCTGCCGATAAGTAGGACCTCATGCTGCTTTCAAAGGAGGCCTGGGTAAAAAGATAGAATTCTTTATTTTTTGCTGTTTCCCGTGTCTTTAAGGTCTTAACACTTTAAAGAAGCATAATTAATGAAAATACACATTTTGTGGTTTCTTTGAAGGGATCACATGTTCTCCTGGGGATACATGGAATTTGGTCCTAATTTGTAAAGGGGCAAGATAGACACTTGCCCACCCTTCTGTTTCTCCACATTCAGAATGACCAGTCTGAAAGCAGCGGTGGTTTACATACTTCCAGGAACTTGTTACGGTCTCATCCTTTACATAAGAGAGGATTGCATCTGTGTCTTTCCCTTCAGAAGTGACACCGTTACACAGCCATGGCAGGAAGTGTTCTCTTGATTTGCTCTTGAAAATACATGAAGAGAAGCTGCTGAATTCAGGCAGCTTGACTGTCTCAGCCCGCTTCGTAAATACAAGTATTGAACTGAGAAATGTTTAAATTTAGATCTTTGCATTTTTGTGGTTTAGTTGTCATAAATTAATCATATGTTTTAGGTACCCTGAGTGCAAAACTTCAAGCTCATTGGATACCATTGATATTTTTAAGCGAAATATATTTTATTACATTAATGCTAATTGTGTGCAGAACTCCACATTTCTTCCAAAGATCCATTATGTGTCTCAGATGCAAAGATATGCAAAATCACTTATTTACAAAGTGAAATAGTAAGTGTCTGTGATTATTAACTAACTAGAAACCAATTTAACTATGATTCTATGTGTATTCAAACTGTAACGTACCTAGAAGTTATTCTTGATTTGGTAAAGAATTTCCATTCTCTCCAGTAGAGCATTTTGGGTCATGCTACTCTGTTATATTCTGTTCAGCTTTGAATGACTGGTTGTGTGTGTGTGTGTGTGTGTGTGTGTGTGTGTGTGTTTCCTTTTTTTCCCTCCTGTCTAAATTCTAGATCTCTAAGCAGAGTTATAATAGTTTTATTTTTAATACATAATACTTAAAATGACGGGATATTTTTAATCACCAAATTCTTAGCTCTTGATGATTAACTAATTTTGCATTGTACCTATGTTAAATACCACATCAAACACATATTTGATAAAGTGAGATTTATCTGCTCATTACATGCAAGTAGGGAATGACTTTAAATACTAGAATCTCTTTTGAATGTCCTGAGTGTGCATCATAGTTTGGGAGGCCTGGTTACAGCCACAGCTCTCCCAGCGAGCCCTCAGTCAGCGATGTGTCTTGCTCTCTGGCTTACAGAAATACTGTGTCACTGTCATCAGGAACTTGAAGTACTGAGGAAGAAGCACGCATGCGTGTTCCTGCAAACGCAACACAGTGATGTGACTTGTTCTTAAGTTGGTTCTGCACTCCAGCAGGAGGTCTCAGGAACCAACCAGCACTTACTGAGCATAGCCACTCATTTCATCCTTACAAAAACCCAGTAAATGAGGCACTACTATTTTTTTCATTTTACAGATGGAAAATGATACCCAGAGAAGCTAAGATTGTGCCCAGATCTCAGAGCCCATGAAGGCCGTAGCCGGGATTTGAGCCAGTGTAGCTCCAGGGTCTTAAGCCAACGCTGTCCGTGGTGGCGGATGGAGGTCAGCAGGCTGTTTCTAGGCGGTGGGCTACTTCCTCCTGGGTTCCGAAGACAGCCTGTGTGAACCTCACACCACGGTCAAGTACTGAGCTTACCTGTTCACATTCATGACTCCCAAGTTTTTAAAAAAAAATCTCGCCTCGAACCACTTTCAGATCGAAAGGACTTACTTTCATAGTCTTGTGCAAATTTATAACGGCACCGAATTTCAGTAAAATGTTTTCGTAACATCACTGTAGGTTTTATGGTAGGTTTTTATGAATTTTCCTTTGTCCATTTGTAGCTTTTGTGTTAGTGTCTAAGCTTCCTCTTAAACTAGGGATGACCCTTGAGTTTGCATGCCGTTGTCTTTTCACTGATGATTAGACAGCCATAGATAATGAGTTGATATCATCTACAAAGTCATGTAAGTTGTGTAACAAATCATAGTTTGTGTACAGAATCCCTTTAGCTTTGTGTATTGCCTGATAATGAGCAAGGTTGTAGTAGAGAGACCAAGATTATTTTGTTTTTGTTTTGAAAGGCCTACAGTATGCAGCCTTTCTCCAGGACAGCAGCCCCAAACAAGGTGAACTAATTTTGCACTATGTTATTTTACTTTTTAATTGTGCCTTTTTTTTGGTATACATTTCCATCTTTTTTTAGGGTCTCTTAGTTTATTCTTGCTAGAATTACTCGTTAAAATCATACTGTCTTAACATTGCTTCTAGTCTTGGATTTTATGCTAGTAGGTTTGCATTTTTAAAACTTTCTGGAAGTATTGGACTGTCATTTCACATACGGTGCTGTCGATCAGGCTCTGTCTAGAGTAGTGGCTGACGTCTGAAATCCAGTGAAAATGCACACGTAGCCCTTGACACACATCGAGTATTTCTGAAGTCCCCTATCAGTGGATTGTGTCTACTGGAAGAAAAACTGCAACAGCTCTGCCTGTAACAAACACCTTACGTCATTCATACCCATAACAACATTTCCTGGATTCAAAATTAGTAACTTTTGAACGTGACTTCTACATGTTACATGTGAGCAGCTGCTGCTGTCCTTAAGAGTGAGCAGCACATACACAGCTACTCCATCAACAGGTATCCACACGTTTCTCTCCTTTTCCTTGACTGGAGTTATGCATTCATTCCTACAATTGTAAGAAACTAGGTCTAGCATTACACACTCTGGTTAAGAGAGATCCACTTTCCTCTTTGTGTCCTGCTGGGATGGGAAGGACGGGTCGGAAGAAGGCAGGAGGCACTTGGGAGACCTCAGCTGTGTGCCTTGACTTGATGATCCGAGTTCCCGTTTTGAGAATTACAGTTAGGTGAATTAACGTAAAAAAAAAAATCCAAATGATGAAGGATGGCGGTTTCTATTGTTCATAATGAGTCAAACATAAGCCACTGAAATCCTTTAAGATGTTTCTGAACAGCTTTGAAGAAAATATTCTGAAAGACATTGTTTCGGACTGGGAAAGAGTTCTGTTAATTAAAAATAGACCAAAGTATGTTATCCTTACTGAACCCTATAAGATCGACGATTTATGAGACAAAACTTGTAACAGCGAATTGCAGCTTCCCACCTGAGCCCCGTGAGATGGGTGTCCCCAGGGACCATTGTCACGGCCAGGCGCCCACATGCATGTGTTGTGTCCAGTTCCATGAGCTCTGTTTCTTCTGCCATGCGCATATTAGGGTCAAATGTCAAATTAATATCTTACCGTTTTTTTAAGTAGTGTGACTGAAATCCCTTCACCAAAGTAAGTTTGCAGCAAATCTGCACCAAGTAACCAGAAATGGTCATGCTTTTGTATTACTTTGGTTGGTAAAGACCACGTTTTCGAATAAAAGGCGAACAAAATCTACATTTTTGCAGAATTTGGTAATATCCTCTAGCCATGACTCTGAATATGGGTAAGAAGACATGAACCTGGGAACTTTCTCACTTGAAGGAGTGGCCAGTAGGCCCCTCGTGAGGTCAAGCAGGGATCGGTGCAGATTTGGTGCCGGAGGAGCCCTTGTTCCCTAGACAAGTCCCCCGCTGAAGCCTGCGTGTTGGGGGAGTGACTGACCCGAGAGGAAACCAGAAAGTTGCCCAACCCCAGAAGCAAACCGTAGGCAATGATTTATGAGAAGAAAAATGATGGCGGAACATAAGGCTGGAACTTCAGGGTCCCCCTTGAAAGTGGCCTGGATTGTACTACGTGTGGGCTCGACCCTTACTCCTTTACTAACCACATCGACAGAGGAAGGGCGAGTTAATCCCTCACTCTTAACACAGGTATTCTGTTAAAAGCTACGAGTGCTATTTATGAGGAATTAATTAATGAATAAGTGCTAAATAAGACAACTGTAATATCTTTCTGTTCCTAGTTTAGTGGCACTGGCTGTTCACACACAAAGTGTAACAGAAAGTGTATGAGAGCACCTGCCCTTAACGCTCGTTCGTTTATGGGGACACTCCCACTAAGGAAAGATGCCTCCTTCCGTTTTTGTTTCTTTATGGTAATGTCCTTTTGAGAATGTGATTAAACCTTTAGTTTCACATTTTCAATTTATTTTTCCAAATTTAACAGACCCTGAAAATTTGACAGCTGTCAGAACATGGACATTCTGGTTTATGTTATTTTCAATAAAGCATCCAAACCATGGATGAGAAGATAAGACTAGTGAGCATCCCCGTTTACTACTATTCTCTCTGTTCTAACGGTGTGCTAAGTACTTACCGTATCTTGTTTAAACGCAGAACAAAACAGAGGTTGGTCTATTTGAAATACTAAGCTGTAGGTGCTGGTTTGGGGTCTTCAGTTTATTGAAGAAATTAATTCCATAGATTATATAAAAAAATGAAAGCTAATGTTAGAACTGGGATTGGCTCTGGACTTACTTCATTTGGGCTGGTTTTACTGTCAGATCACCTTAAAGTATTCTGAATATTAATACTGTTTCAGAAAGAAATTTTAAGTTGAAAAGCAAATTTCTAGGTATTTTTTCCCTCTTGTTTTAACACAGTAAATGTCTAAAATTGTTTTAATGCCTAACTTCTGATGGACTTTGGTTTCAATTTTGTTCTTAGTCATTGCAGATATTGACAAAATGTCATACGAAATTATTTTGTATTTTTTGTAGGACTGGGAAACAGAAAATCATGACTGGTATTGTTTTGAATGCCATTTGCCTGGAGAGGTGTTGATATGTGACCTGTGTTTTCGTGTGTATCATTCCAAGTGTTTGTCTGATGAGTACAGGCTTAGAGACAGCAGTAGTCACTGGCAGTGCCCAGTATGCAGGGTGAGTACCTACGAGCTTTCACGTGCTGGTCAGAGGGTTGGAATGCACTGCTCATAGCTGTGCAAGACCCCCGGTGGGCGTGCCAGGTGAATGGATGACGGACTGGAGGGTGGGGGTTATCTGCCGAAACAATGGTAACTGAGCACAGCACTGGTCAGTGCGTACCCCAGAACACCTGACATACTCAGGGTACGTAGAATGTTCCAGTCACAGAGAAATACGCGTTCTTCCCTCATGTGACACTTGCCTCTGGACTGTGTGACTCCTGTCATGGCTAGCCTTTGGAAATCAAGGAATAGTCTTCCACACCAGGTTCGGTTCAATCTGTCCTCTCCACTCAGGAATCACAGCCAGCAAAAGGCACATTGTTGGAAGCATTTTGTATCTACTTCCCATTTTATATCCATGTAATGTCGCCTTTATTTTTTGTCATATCATGGGCTAGTCTATTTTTTCCTTTGTGTTGTATTTGGAGGGTGGAGGGATGGGACAGTTGTATATAAAGCATTCTAATTACTTAAAGCAAAATGAAACAGTCTGGTAGGAAAAACAGGGACTTTCCACAATTATTTTCATTCCTGTTATTTCCCTAGTGAAAAGTATACCTGGCTGTGCTTGTTGGTTGTAAAACGTGGTGTGTGTGCGTACAAGTGGTGTGTGACGCCTGCATCGTACGTCGCTTATGGCGTTGATGGTGATTAGTAAAAGGTTATTTTATTGCACCCTCTATTGTTTTTGTATTTATAATTGCTATGATCCATATTTGGAACCATGCAAGTTGCCCAGATTACTCATGGGCTCAGTTTCTGAATATACTTTGTATTACTTGAGTTAAATATTCGTTTATAATGTAAAAAAGTTGTATCTTAATAATTTTTCCCTCCTTCAGTGTTGGTCCTAACTTTCTTGCTAGCATAATGAGCTTCTAATATTGTCTTAGTAACTTTGTATTTTCTTAGTATACTTAACCTCACCAGCACCTCTGTACGTACACCCACTGTATATGCGCAGTGCGTTCCCTCGCTGTAGTTCACCTCACCAGCACCGCTCTACACACTCAGTGTCACCTCAGTATATTTTATCTCACCATCCCGCTGTATATACTCAGTGTTAGCTCAGTGTACTTCACCTCACCAGCACCTCTGTACACGCTCAGTAGACCTACAGGCGACCATTAAGGCGGCATTATCAATAGGGTGTGTAATGATGATTCATAATCAGATGCCTAAATGCTAGGTCATCGATGAATCCCTAAATCTGCATGTATCAGTATCAAGCCTCAAGCTGTAGACCTCCTCTTTGATGTCTACAAGAATTTATGATGTGTCCATGAAATTAGTGTAATTGGGGGTGGGGGGACTGCATAAATATCCATACTTTATTTTTATGGATTTGGATCGTGAATTTAAAAAAGCAAATATTTGTTTTCTGGTAACAGTTAACACTTGAAGTAAGGTATTAATGAAACCTTAAGAACAAGAGCATTAAGGTAGTAAAAATACAAAGAGGTGGGTTGCTGATCAGATGGGAGGGACTCTCACCTTCCAAAAGTGCAATTCCCCCTGATGTCCAGGTGTCCTTATGGCCACGGCTTTCATAGCACAGACTGAGCAAAAACACTGGGGTTTTTGAAGACGCATTAAACTTTGTTGTGGATATTTAATATTCCTGAGTGGAAATTGAACAATTATACCTTTGAAGAAAATGTCTAAGGCTACGTTCATAGGATTTCACGGTCAAGTTGTCAGGTCCCATTTTCCACGTGTGTTTGCTCTACTTTGTAGGCCAGATGGTTTTTTTAAAATTCCAGAGAGTTACTGGGCCACAGTAACTGGGCCAAACATGGTAGCCACAGTGGAGCTCAGTGTACCCCATCTGTCTTTCTTTCTGTCCTTTGGTTTTCCTTTCATGTTTGTCCATCTGTATTTGCCCACACTGTGAGAGGCTTGAACTTGCAGGGATGCTGAGTCAGTAAACACTCATGACCCCGCACTTGTTTCTTAGGCCGGGAACCGCTCTGGGGAGGCTCAAAATGCCTATGTTTGGGTTGGGGATGGTGAGTTTTATTTTGAGCTTTAAAAGGCCTAAAGAAATAGTTATTTCTGTGTAGGATCTATTCTGTTGTTTTGTTACATTCAAGAAAAAGATACATATTAACAGTTCTTTCCTGAGAGAAGGAGTCATAATAACCTTGAAATTTTAAGGGGATTTTAAGGATCTTTAAGGGAAGGCTTGTGGTTGATTTGTTTTTTTAAACAGTGTCAAAACTTCAAATAAAACCATTTTTGTGATCTAATATGAAAGTAACGGAGCAGATTTAAATGTTCTTGCTCTTAATGAATGGAGAGGGTAGAGACTGGGACAAAGAACATGGTTGCAGATGAGAACATTACTCCCCAGTCTCCTTCTCCATTAGTGTTTAGAAAGAGCACAGATTACCTAGACACACTCATGAGGAATTTTGAAGAGCACATGCCCAGAGCCAAATTTCAGTGCAGGGTGGAACAGTAGTGGCAGCCATCCATTACTACCTAAACTTGCATATTTCTGTTATCTTCGAGTGATCAGGAGATTTTTATTTCTATGTAATCTGTCCCTGACAGTATTGAAAGTGTCACTAAGAATTGGTTTCAGCCAGTGGTGAACTACTCAAGCACATTTAACGCATGTATCTGACCATTTCCAGATATTTTAAGAAGGCAATGATAGAAAGTTTTCTGTATTTAAAATAATTATATTAACATTCATAATAAAACTCAGGAATCTTACCATCTTGAGGATATTTCTTTTGAATGTCTGCCTTTCTAATCATTTAAATGTACAGACAGGGTAGATTGTTCTTGTAAAGTAGCCTCTGAATGTCACGTTAGCATCTTGCTTTGAAAAAAATTCTAGTAACACACTGTTCTACACTCTTACATGGAACTCTCACTCATTAGAAAAAGGAGGATTTAAAATTATTTCTCTTATATTTACCTATAAAAATCCAAGTAATTTAGAGGAGGATAAAGAAAAAATGATATTTCCAGAAGTACTAGGACACGGCAGGCAGATGTCCTCGCAGACCTCTCTCCATGTGCGTGAGCACAAGCGTGTGTGCATGTGTCCATCTGTTTGTCCCGTATCTGTGACTTCACACACATGACTTCACGTAACTGGTGTGTATCCAGCACTGTCCCTGAGCCATAGTTTATGCCCTACTGGTGCACATTTCCATCAGCCCCACGGTCCTGTCTGAGCAGCAGTTTCGCGCCGGAGTCCACCTGTCGGGCCACGTGCTGCTGAGCCCAGAGCCGCGCTAACACTCCCACTCTTGGGAGCAGTCTCCTCGCTTTCATTTATTTCTGTACGCAAATGAAGTTTGTATTTTGTTTTAGTCAAGTGTATTTGAATTTTATATTCCCCAAATAGCCATGAATTTTTCATGACAAAAATGAGAAGATCATAACTTTTAAGTGAAAGTAGCTTTTAAGATTTTATTTGCCTAAAAGATAGATCTTTAAAACACAGTATAGTCAATCGTGTTTTCTAAAAACAGAGACACTTAAAAATAACATGTATTTATGTAATTCTGTTTGATCACCTTCACAGGATAAATTTATTAAAGTGGAATTCATAAAGTTAAAGGATAGGCACATTTTAATTCATGATAAAAATCACCAAATTGCCTTTTGGAAGATTATACCTGTTTATACCAACATGAAGGTGTTTTCCAGCACTCTGTCACCAGCGTGGTAGGACACACACATGGATGTCTCCCTTCAGTATTGCTTCATTTTTATATAGTTGCCGAATCACAACGTCAGCTTATCCTTTGATGCATTGGTCATGGAAGGCGGGCCTGTGCGTGTGCACAAGTCTGTGTGCCTGTGTGCATTTGTGTCCCTGCGTGGGTGTCTCCGCGCGCGCATGTGTGTATATTTCATGTGTACATGGATTTGGGACCAGGGGTTTCTTTGTGCATGTGTCTGGCATGTGCACACGTGTGTACATGTGCACATGCATGCCTGTGTGTGTACCGGTGTGTGCTTGCCCGTGTGTGTGTGCTCCCTGCTCTCTGGCTGTGCTCCTGCTGGGAACAGCAGGATAATGTTTGGTAACTTCTTGAATGCTCTGTAGCGTGTGGGCGGAGTAACACACTGTCGGGTCCCCGGGGCCGCTACTGAGGTCACTGCCTGCAGCCTGGAAGAGCTCGGGTACGGGGGGAGACCTCTCTGTGGGGGGCAGACCTCTGTGTGGGGGTGAAGTCCTCTCTCTGGGGGTAGAGGTCTCTGGAGGGGGGTATAGACCTCTCTGGGGGGCGCGTGCAGAGCTGTCTCTCCACTGCCCCGTGGAGGCACTGGGCACTTGCACAGGCCTTAGGGGGCCCATAACCCAGATTTCTGTTTGGCAGATAACGAAAATGAAACATCTCACTACTTTAACTAAAACTAAACCAGGACTCCATGGCCATGAGGGGCCACCTGGAGTTCTTTGGGTTGGCCCCAGCTTGTGGACAGTGCCGAGCTCTGGGGGTGTCACTTGCAGTGTGACTTGTGCTCGCTGAGGGGGCTAAAGCCACAATCCTGACGAAAGCTAGTTCTTGAAACTGGAGATAGAGATGGACTTCTGAATCCACTTTTCATTCTTTTTGCTATGTGGGCAAATACAGATTTTTTTTTTTTAAATTCCCAAAGTAGGGAGGTCACTCATTTAATGTTCAGAATGAAGTAAAACAAAATGCTAAATGAAAATATTTCTAGGGCGCCTGGGTGGCTCAGTGCGTTAAGCCTTTGCCTTCAGCTCAGGTCATGATCTCTGGGTCCTGGGATCGAGCCCTGGATCGGGCTCTCTGCTCAATGGGGAGCCTGCTTCCTGCTCCCCCTCTGCCTGCCTCTCTGCCTACTTGTGATCTCTCTCTCTCTCTGTCAAATAAATATATAAAATCTTCAAAAAAAAAAAAAAAAAAGGAAACTACTTTGAAAACATGTACTCCCTGCGGTGTGTTGACCATAAGACTG